AGACAATCAAAGGTTAAAATGGCTTGAACTGTAAGTATAACTACTGAACCATGATGGACTCCACTCAAAAAAGGTTCAGTTCCTCACCTCCACAGAGAAGACTTGTTTCTCATACTCTAGACTATCACACACGTCAGTCTGAATGGTGCTTTTCAACTGCTGTAATCTGAGACAAAACAACAAGACTAAGCAAGACAAGCACTTACTGTCACGTGTTTGTTTCTGTTTCGTTCCTGTCTGCCCTTATTTGGTTCAGTTCCTGTTCTCATTTAGTTAATCATCGTTTATTCAGATCACCTGTGTTGTATTATTCATCTCGTTTGCTCCTTAGTTTGCCTGTCCTTATAAGCCCTCAGTTTCTGTCTATTCTTTGTGCTGGATTAATGTTATTTTCAACGGTCTAAGTGTGTTGACATTTATTAAAGACTCCTTTACTTCTACTCCTTCGTCATGCGCCGTCCTACAACCACGACCGCATGACACTTACATTGCAAATCCATTGTAAACTGAATTATTCAAAGCAGTCAATCAGTCACTTTGTTTCAATCTAGAGCAGGGGTAGGCAAGTTCGGTCCTAGAGAGCCGCAGTCCTGCAGAGGTCAGCTCCAACCCTAATCAAACACACCTGAACAAGCTAATCAATGTCTTCAGGAGGACTGCGGCTCTCTAGGACCGAACTTGCCTACCCCTGATCTAGAGAAATAAGACAAATTCTCTGAAACATGCCTTACAATGCCGGCAAACACTGAGTATCTTTAAAAAAAAGTGCTTTTTGGTGTGGATGTAAACACTCACTAACTGTTTAATTTAAACTCTCTAAGCAGCTTTTTATAATTTTTTTTATTATGCAACCCTCAGTGCACTAAAACAAAAAATGTACCTGTCTAAAATCTTGTCTTTGAGCTGCCCTTTTTTAAAGCTGAAGAAATCACAAGATTCTTGGCATAACAGCATTACAGAGTGAACAAATTACCAGCATTACATAAACCTTTCTGTTTTTCCCCACGTTGCATCTTGTTAGCTTGGCAGAAAAATCCTGTTTGTTACTGACACCCAGCACAACCCACAGATTGTTTTATAGTCATAAACAAATCTTGTAGACGTGATTACATATTATGCGAACAGAACAGTTATCAAGGGAAGATTAGTTTACATTTACATTTGAGCCGGGAAATCTATGGCAATTATCTCATGTTTGTGCAGCAGCTTTTATATTCTCACCTCTTGGTTCCTTTCTCCTGATAAGCGTGAAAGGCCAAGGTCTGCTTTTCCCAGTAAGTCTGTGGATATAGTGTGATTAAATCAAAGGCCATTTACATATATATTTTACACATTTACTTGCCAAAATTCATTTGCATTAATAGACACTTGGTGAGTCAGAACAATTGTTACCATCAATTCCTCCTCCATGCTTCTCAAAACAATGTCATCTTGCTCCAGGTTTGCTATTTCACGCACCAGGACTTGTTTAACTTTCTCTAGCCTCTGACTACTACTGTATATAAGGAAAAACAGAAAACAAAAGGGCTAAATATCAGACCTGTTTTAGGGCAGAAACTCTGACCTCTTCTGAGTCAAGGGTCATGCCTGACCTGTACTGGTGTACTTGGACACTGACGGAGGACATGTGCTGCTGTAAGGTCTTCAAAGTCTGCCTGGTGTAAAGATCCATTGTCCTGCAGAGATTCTGACAAACACACACGATAAGTTATTGGACAACGCTACTCACTGAATGCTTCAAAATGTGCAGCAGGTTTTGCATGCAAGGATGTGAATAAATAATTGCTTCATGGAGCTGGCGTGTTTAGCCAGGGCTGATTTAGTGAGAAAAGTGAGATGACAAGCACCTTGATCTTCCTCTTAAACTCTGAGCTGAACTGATGGCAGATAAAGCCCACCTGCTGAGCAGGCTGGGTCACATCGATGTCTGCCTCCACACTGGCATGCCTGCAACTGGACTTCGTACAAGATGACAGTGTCTCCACTTCCTCGGCTGGAGGGAACACACACACATACCCATGAGTCACTCGTCAGCACATTCAAAAGCTCACACAACTGCATAGTAGCTACAGGACAGCTGAGCTTCTGAATCATTCACTTTTTTATATTTACAGTACCGTTCAAAAATTTGGGGTCAGTGGGACTTTTTGTTTGTAAGAAATACTTTTTATTTAGCTAGAATGCATTAAACTGATCAAAAGTGACAGTAAATGTTAAATGTAAAAAAAAGCTCTATTAATCAAAGCATCCTGAAAAAAAGATGTATCATGGTTTTCACAAAAATATTAAAAAGAACAACTGTTTTCAACATTGATAATAATAAGAAATGTTTCTTGAGCATCAAGTCAGCATATTACAATGAAAAATACAGTTTTTTCCCGTTTTTGATCAAATAAATGCAGCCTTGGTGAGCATAAGAGACTTCTTTCAAAAACATTAAAAAGCCTTATCAACCCCGAAACTTTTGAACAACAGTGTACATTTATCAATAGCATGTTCTTAGCTTTATTTTTGTGCCCAGAAACACTTTCTCTCTCATTACTGGATATTATTGTTTCCTTGGCCCTTTTATTCAGGCCTTTCTGGTAACTTCTCTTTCTTCTCCTGTTCTCTGTGACTATGTCCTCCTCTTCTTCCTCTGAGCTGCTCTGATCCTTCATCAGCAGTTTAACATTGGGGCCTGAGGCACAGCAACACAAAGCCATTCACAGAATCAAATGCAATCTAGTTTCTTAATCAGGAAATTGTGAAAACAAGAGATTTTCCCAGCAGAATCAACAATAAGTGCCTGATGAGTCAGGATTGGGATTCATTTGTGTCAGAGAAAGTTAATGAGATGCATGACTTGACTTGAAAAATTTTGCTGCATCATGCTTGGTTGCTCCACCCAGAGTGAAATCTCATTGGTCTAGCTTTACATGGATGTATATCAAATATGTTCTGATTGGCTGGTATTACCACAAGGGAAAAAAAACGTTAAAAAAAAATCAACTAGGCACCATGCCTAGTTGATGCATAATCTTTTGTAAAAGGTGATAAATACCCTTACTAGGAGTGAAGGATTTATTAGTAGGCCCAAACAGCTTCCTGGGCTTCATTTTCAGAGCTAGCTGTGAGGGAGAAGGAGCCTTATTCTCTTTGTCCTCCTCACTGTCCTCATCTCTCTCTGAAAGACTAGCGGAGTAGCTCAGGGCAAGATGCTTGTGGACGGCTGTTGGACCTGATTGGCAATTGGTACAAAAAATAAAATAACAATATAAAAATAATATAACAAATAAAATAAAAAACACAACATAATTAAAAAATCTCTTCACCTGACTTAAATTCTAGTCTCTCAACCTTACTTCCTTTCTGGCATGCGGGTGTTTTCTGTAAGTCAAACAAGAATGAAGTGGCGTGTTACTGAAATGTACTACTATGAAAAGTGCAACTGTACTCAGAAATAAACTGTAAAGCTGTACCTCTAGTTCAGTGCACATCAGGGCCATGTTGCTCACAGATATGCGAGAGGATTGGCTCATTGTCACAGAAATGACAGACCTTCTTTCAAAAGATGTTGGGCTGGTTTTGTTCATCACACCTCTCTGCTCCTCCTGGAGGTCTGGAGGGATGTGTGGGGAGGGCAGGGTGGATTTCTCCAGGGGTTGAGTTGGGATCAGTAATGAGTGAACTGGACTCAGCTCAACCTGCAGGAGTGGGACAGAGGACAAGGGCGAACTTGCATTACATAAACATACTCATCTTTAGATCAGAGAGGTAATGACAAAGACAAAGATGTATCAGCAAGAAAGTAGAATGTACGAGCAGTTGCTTTTGCTAAAAGCACAAATCAATAATACTCTCAAGGCACAATATTATTAGTACATTCAGTGGCCCCTAAAAGTATCTGGATACTTAAGCCACACTTAAAATGACAGAATGTATTGTATTACACCATAAAATATAAACCCATGTGGGATGTTAAAGACAGAACGATAAATCACAGGAGATTCTTTGATGAATAGAAAGCTTAAGAAAACAGCATTTATTTTAAATAGATATCTTTTGTAACATTATACATGCCACTTTACTGTCACTTTTGATCAATTTAATGCATACTTGCTGAATAACTTTAATTACTTTAAGCATTTTTACCCAATGCAATGAAATTCTTACATTTTTATTTTGTGGTCCAAATATGATAACTGTATGGTCAGAAATAACAATGAAATGAGCCTTGAGGGCTGTAATGTGGCCCATTAGTACTTGATCTTTCCATCGATTTGATTTAAAAACCTGCACTTGTTTCCTGTTTACCTGTGCAGCAGGTGGATTCCGCTTAGAGCCCCTTGAGGTTGTGGAAACAGGTGTTATGGAGTGAGAAGGCAGTTTCAGAGCACCTTTATTTCCTGGGGTTTTATAGAGAGACAAGGCCTGCATTTCTTTGAGAGAAGTGAGAGGCTGTAGTGGATGAGAGTCGGCTTCAATTGGAGAGATGGACAGAGAACGGAGAGGTGTAGCACTGGATCTCAAGTTGGTTGTTAGTTTTTCACCTGCTACAGAGAAAAATAAAATATAATCCCACAGCAGTTACACAAGATGTTGTTTTTATACCAGGCTGTGTATTCAAAAAATGTAGTGTGATTCAGTGCCAGTAATTAACACAATTATTAATGCCCCCTGACTTGGATATAAATTTTGCAAATAAACTTTAATTGACAGCCATACATTTATAAAAAAAAAAAATAAAAAAAAAAATAATTTAATGCAGTTTAATTCTTACATCTCATCTTCTCAACGGAGGGAGGCGAGGCAAATGTGGAAGATAATCTTGCAGCCCAAGATTCCTTCTGTCTCCTGGCTGACTCCTGAGCAGATGACGTCTTCTTCACTGTGAGATGCTCTGGACTAGACATCTTCTTGCCTTTATAATTCCTCTGATCTCGCAGAATCTTTGCAAAGCCTTTATCTGCCTTTTTCTGTACATTCTTCTCACTTTGTTGTTTGGCTGTGTCTACAGAGGTTTTCTCTCTCTTTTCTCCTTGTTCTGTGGCTTGAGCTGGGACATTCGTCTGAAGCGTGGCTGCTCGCCCAATTGCTTTTTTCTATTGGGAAAAGACAGAGACATAAAGCTCATCAGGACTGTTACCATTAGTCTGTCTAGACCCTGAAAGTCTTAAAGGATTAGTTCACTTCCAGAATAAAAATTTCCTGATAATTTACTCACCCCCATGTCATCCAAGATGTGCATGTCTTTCTGTCTTCAGTCGCAAAAAAATTAAGGTTTTTGAGGAAAACATCCCAGGATTTTTTCTTTTTTTTTAGAAAATGACCGATCGTTTCGCTAGATAAGACCCTTATTCCTCGGCTGGGATCGTGTAGAGCCCTTTGAAGCTGCACTGAAACTGCAATTTGGACCTTCAACCCGTTGGGTGCCACTGAAGTCCATTATATGGAGAAAAATCCTGGAATGTTTTCCTCAAAAACCTTAATTTCTTTGCGACTGAAGATAGAAAGAAATGAACATCTTGGATGACATGTTATCAGGAATTATCAGGAAATTTTTATTCTGGAAGTGAACTAATCCTTTAAATAAAGGCATTTACAACTAATGAAGATCCCAGTGATCTGACTGTGCTGAAAACCACATGCCTTAGGGGGTGGTGCTTTTTCGCTTTCTGACAGGCAGGACTGGTTGTCTGAGTCAGACGGCTCTCTGTAGGTTCTGGTCAAGGCTGTAGCTCTTTGAGGTCGTCCTGTGGCTTTCTTATTATTGATGCTTGGCTGCCGTTTATTCTCCTGTATGCCCATTTTCTTCTGCCTCTTCAGTTATTGACCCAATCCAAGAGAAAAGTGAATCATTACTATCAATATTAGTGCCGAAAATGCAATACTACTAATTCAAAAAAGTGTAATACACTTAAGTACGGAGGCATATAAATTAAAATTGGGTTGCTCTTTTAAAAAAATAGTTCAATTTACTATGCACACCCACTCTGGTATTATATTATAAAAGTGACAAAAAAGCTACAAAATGTAGAATATGGCCCCTTTAAGGCATCCTCTGTGAAAATTATAGAGCCTTACCCGCTTTGGCTTGATTTGTTCTTTCACTGGCTTTGGTGAAGGCAAAGGTGTATATGGCGACTTAACTGAAAAAAAGTGTAAGAGATTTACTGGTACAAGAGGATATGAAAGAGGGAGAGAAAATAGTTATCAATAAACTGTGTGTAGTCCTTAAATAGATGGCACTCATCATCTCTGTGGAGTTAACCTCTGCAGATGACAAATAAGAGACATCTCTAAAATACAGAGACTTGTGTAGCATACATGCAGTGTCAGCTGGCGGAAAGATGGGTTTAACCGGCTGCCTGCTGTAGTCTGCCACTTTGGGTTTGGGTTTCCTGTTGGCTGAGTTTAACCAGCTAATCTCCGTCATGTTGTCTGTGTCCGTATCACTGAACAGGTTTTTGTTCACATTTGCCTTGGCAGCCTAGGTTGTAACACAAACAAGCATAAAAAGTGGATTTTTTGTGATAGGCATATGTTAAATCAACAAACGCATAAGTGTCCATCCCCAAATAATTAAAAAACTGTGAAACCTTTGGAAGCTGAGGTCTCCTAGCAGACTTGGAGAGAGTCTGAGGATTACTTGGTGCACCAAAAGGGAAAAAGCAATGTGAATATGCAATAAAATACATAATATAGTCACATATATAGTATAATGCAGTCACATGTTCTCAAATAAGCAGGATTTCTTTGGAGAGATTTTAACTGTCAGAATGATTGAACTGAACTCTGTTTTTAGGTTCACTTGTTAAACACTAGAGGGGGCTGTTTTTAGAAATGAACAGAATTACCTGCTTTCCACTCTGGATGTATCAGAAGATTTCTTTCGCTGAAAAAAACAAAATTAAGAATGAATGAAAATTATCATATTTTTAATATTTAAAATATGATATTTAGTTTGCATTCAGAGCTATTAGTGTCCTTACCACACTAATTTTTGGCGTGTCTTCTGTAAAAGCATAAATATCCCTGAGGAGACAGAACACAGAAAATTCAGTGATTTATAAAAGCTATTTTCAAACTAAATATCCCTAGTTATTCAGGGAGTGAAGGGAGTTAAATTAAATACTCAAGCTACTGGAACTCCTTCTTGGATCTATCATGTGCTTTGTGCAAGCTTGAACTCTTGACACCAGTTTTCTCCTGTAACACAATGCGCAGGAAAAAAAAAACATGAGTTAACACCACATTTTTAACTAGATGTATTGATTTGACATTGCAAAAGCTTCTTTCTTTCTAAATGACTTACAGTGAAGGATGGACAGCAGCTCTTATTGAGCAGGTTTCTGAAAGTGAAAGTAACATTGTGATTGCATGTGCGGACAGAGGAAAAGGTGGGGCATGAATGAAAGGTCAGTCTGTGTCACCTGTTTGTAGATGCGATATTTAACTGGGCCCCAGGTTCATGGGATGATGCTTTGGCAGGTCTCTTATAATGACTGGATATCATTTTCACCATACCATCTGCAGCATGTGCCATCTTCAGAACATTAACAACAAACGCAGTTCAATATAATAAACCTTGCTTTGTTTTCTTTTATTTACAGACTATTAATCAACAGCATATTAGATATAGAACAGAAAATCATGGGGAGAAAGGAATGGGATTGGGACATACCTTGTGAAAAAGAAGTACTCTTTAGCATACTTTTAAAAAACAGTGATTATTACTGAAATAATACACTTTAAAAGAACATACTAAGAATATATATTTTAAAACAATAAAAAAGTATGAATTGAATGTAATGTTTTCTGACACTTAATTGTATTATTTCTAATTAAATAAAACGTTGTTGAACTTTAGAGTGCTTTTTTGACCTATTTTTTTAAGTACTTCTTCATAAGTAATTCCATAATTACTTCTATTGTCTTTCAAATATGGTTCAAATATAACGTCGAATGAACTGACAAGCATTTAAACTAAAATATACTTAAATGTCATTTCTATTGAAACTTGCATGTCATGTATTTTAATATATTTGTGATTATACATTTGTAACAATGAAGCAATTTAGTTAATTTAAAATATAATAATTTTAAATGTACTATCAAATAACACTACAGTTAAAATTATAATCAAGTCTTTTAAGTATGTTAGTCAAAATAAGTGCACTTCTTTACAGCAGAAGATTATTGAAACAATTACTTAAAATGCAAAACCTTCAATTTGATATTTTTACAAAAATGCACTTTTTAAAAGTGTAAAGTTTATTAAGAGACCTAGTCATGAGTGTACTCTATTTAAATACACTCAAGATGTTACTTGTTTCATTAATATTACATTATAAGCAAGTCGTTTTTCAAATATATACTTTTAAGATCTGAAGTACATTACAAGTGCAATTAAGCACACTTCTTTTTCACAAGGCATGACAGGTCTGATTCAAACCTTAGCAAACACTAATATTTGCTCTTTATAACATAAAGACATCTATTCCAACTAAAAGAGTCTCACATTCTCATGGTCAGATGTGTCACCCTGAACTTCACTACTCTTCCTTCTCTGTTGTGCAGGTCTAGCAGGCATGGACTTCACTGATTTCTCCATATTTTGTTTCTCTTGACCTGCAGTCCTGGGCTCCAGCGAGGAGCCTCTCTGGGCTGCATGGCCATCTGTACCCTGCTGCTCCCTCACCACCTCCTCCAATCTCTGAGTGAGCTGGGTGTGCAGCTGCTTCTGGTTCAGGGCTCTGGATGCACACTGTGCCGGGGACAGACGCTGAGGAGGGGGATGAGAACTACCATCTGGAGATGATTACACAGAATGCAAGGGTACACAAAGCCGCCTGATTCATATAGTGACAACATATCAGGAACAGTGTTTCCTATACAATTCTGGTTTTGAAGGAGGGAAATTCAGGGTAAATTCATTAAACAATCTCACAGATTTGGTGAGTAAATAATTAGACTGATTCAGCTTTTAACAGATTCAGGATCAAAAGAACGGGCTCATTCTTTCATGAGCTGGATTACACTTGCCTCCCTGAATAGTAGTGCAAGAAAGTGATGGAGGAGTAATAATGAGAGTAAATTATTATATTTTATTGTGTGAGAATGAGACTGCACAGTCATAAGAGACATGAAACTAGCACAGATATGTAGGAAATTGGTTCAAACAGTCAATTAATTATAGTATAGAGGTCATAATAATACAAAAAACTACAGAATGCAGTGATTAACCAATCACAATTAAGTATTCAAGAGTCATGTACTGCAGTTTAATATCTCTGCCGATAACTCACCTGATATAGTGCAGTTTTTAGAGCAATCTTTTTGCCAAGCTAGCAGTGATCCAGATACCGAGATTCTCCTTTTACTAGAGTTCAAGCTCCAGGGAGCTGGTGAACTGATCAGACACATGTAAAACATAGACAAACAAGCATACATTATGTTGTGAGCACTGAGCAGACAGAATCCTCGCTACAATGGACGTAATGTTAAATAGTTGAGAAACTGTAACCGAAATGTCACAGAAATACACTCACTATGAGCTTTCCTTTCTCACAGGTTGGGAGTCTGGGACAATGTTGTTATCTTTTACACAAAGAAATTAAATAAAGTTAAAAGCATTCAAATATGTTCACATCAGCAGTGACATTTCCTTAGTATGCTTCATATAATACCAAAAGTTTCCTCTTCATGTTCTTTGTCAGCTTGCACCATCTGTACTACTTTGTCTACAGTAACATGCTGCAGAAAAAAAAAGATTTATAGGGTTAGATGCCAAAAAGAGAAAAAGCAGGTACCAAAAACAGAAAACATGAGATGAGCAATCTAATGAAATGTAAAAGTACATTATATATATTCTCTTGCTCTCTCTCCTTCTCTCTCTCTCTATATCTATCTA